ATATATACATATATATATCTGTATATATACAATCGACATATATATATATATATATATATAAACATCATTCATCCAACACATACAATATAACAAGTATATATATAATATATATAATATAAAATATAAAGTATAATATATATATATAATTATATATATATGTATATGTTGCAAAGGCGTTGGCTGAATTACTAGAGTCTGACGCGAAGTTCGGATTTATAGTGATGGACGGCAACGGGGCGTTGTTCGGAACAGTGCAGGGCAATACGCGCGAAGTGCTGCACCGCTTCGCCGTAGATCTGCCTAAAAAACACGGCAGAGGAGGGCAGTCTGCTCTTCGGTAGGTCTTTCTATTCTTTTTGTTTACTTTACTTTGTTTTATTTGTTTTGTTTGTTTTATTTGTTTTGTCTCGTTGGTTTGACTTGGAACAGGAGGGCAGTCTGCTCTTCGGTAAGTCTTTCTATTCTTTTTGTTTACTTTACTTTGTTTTACTTTGTTTGTTTTGTTTGTTTTATTCGTTTTTATTGTTTTGTTTGGATGGTTTGACGTGGAAGAGGAGGGCAGTCTGCCCTTCGGTAAGTCTTTTTATGTATTTTGTTTGTTTTATTTGTTTGTTTGTTTGTTTGTTTGTTTGTTTGTTTGTTTGTTTTGTTTGTTTTTGATTTGTTTGTTTTTCTGTTTTTTATTTGTTTATTATTCTGCATATTTTATTAATTGTTTATTTTGTTTATTTCTTTGCGTATTTTATTATAATTTTATTTATTATTTCGTTTATATATATTGCAGCTTCGTCTTTTTATGTGTTTAATTTGTTTCTTCTTCTGCATATTTAATTAATTATTTAATTAAGTATATAATTTAGGATTAAAATTTATATATTTAGTTAAATTTATTGATATATTTATTAATTACGTTTTGACTTTGTTCGCAGGTTTGCTCGTCTCCGCATGGAGAAGCGGCATAATTATGTACGAAAAGTTGCAGAGACAGCCGTGCAGATGTTTATTACACAGGACAAAGTAAGTTAATTATTTTATTATTTTATTATTTCATTATTTTTTTATTATATATCTTGTTCTTGTAGCTCTCTTATTCTTTAGATTGAGAGAGAATAACATATGTATGGGTGTTTTGTTAACTGTTGTTTTAATAAACGTTTTTTGTTTTTATATTGCAGTTATTATTATCATTATATTATTATATTATTATTATTATTATTATATTATTGTTATTATTATTGTTATATTCTTCTTATTATTGCTCTTTCAATCTCACATGTTGTTGTTCTTGTTGCAACTGCATCTACTGCTGCTGCTGCTGCATTTGGTGCTGCTGTTGCTGCACTTCCATGATACTACTTCTACTGCTGCTACTTCTACTTCTACTGCTGCTGCGTCTTCTTCTTCTGCTTCTGCTGCATGTATTGCTGCATGTGTTGGTGCATGTGTTGCAGGTGAATGTGTGCGGATTGGTGTTAGCGGGGTCTGCTGACTTTAAGAACGACCTGGCTTTAAGCGATATGTTTGACCAAAGACTGCAGGCAAAAATACTTAAAATTGTCGATGTCTCCTACGGAGGAGACAACGGATTCAATCAGGCCATTGAACTCGCTTCAGAAACGTAACTTATTGCTGCTGCTGCTGCTGCTGCTGCTGTTGCTTTTGCTGCTGCTGTTGTTGCTGCTGCTGTCGCTGCTGCTTTTGCTGCAGCTGTTGCTTTTGCTGCTGCTGTTGTTGCTGCTGTTATTGCTGCTGCTGTTGTTGCTGCTGTTATTGCTGCTGCTGTTGCTGTTGTTGCTGCTGTTGCTGCTGCTGTTGTTGCTGTTTTTGCAGCTGTTGTTGCTGCTGCTAATGCTGTTGATACTGCTGCAGCTGCTGCTGATTGATAATGGTGATGATATTGCTGCTGCTGTTGCTGCTGCTGCAGGCTGCAGAACGTGAAGTTTATTCAAGAGAAGCGTTTGATAGGCAGATTTTTTGAGGAGGTCGCGCAAGACACCGGGAAATATGTATTTGGCATTGCTGAGACACTGCAGGCTCTCGAGATGGGCGCTGTCGATATTCTAATCGTTTATGAAGCCCTCGATACACTCAGGTCAGCACACCCAGGTTTAGGGTTTAGGGTCCTAGGGTTCGAGGGTTTAGGGTTTAGGGTTTAGGGTTTGGGGGGGTATTATAGAGGCTAGTAGTAGTAGCAAGTGTTTAGGAGGTTAGAGGTAATGCCTACCAGATAATTGTAAGGGAGTCTGAGGGTTTAGGGTTTAGGGTTTAGGGTTTAGGGTTTAGGGTTTAGGGTTTGGGTTGAAATAGGGTTTATGGTTTGTGCGTGTAGGATAACACTGAAGAATCAGACAACCGGAGAAGAAAAGGTAGTGCATGCATCGCCTGAAGAAGCAAGGAAGGACTCGTTCTTTAAAACTGAAGACAAAGAAGAGCTTGAAAACATCGAACAGCAGCCGCTAACTGAGTGGATCGTCAACAACTACAAAAACTTCGGGGCAAACCTTGAATTCGTTACCAACAAGTAAATAAATAAATTAATTAATTAATTAATTAATTAATTAATTAATTAATTAGTAAATAAATAAATAAATAAAGTGATTGATTAGTAAACAAATTAATTAATAAATAGATTAATTAATTAGTTAACTGATTGATTAGTAAATAAATAAGTAAATTAATTAATTAATTAATTAGTAAATAAATAAATAAATAAATTAATTAATTAATTAGTAAACTAATGAGCTAATAAATTAATAGGTGAACAAGTAAATTAGTGAACAATTAATAAATAAAAAATAAATAGATACGTAAATAAGTTAAATAAATAAGTGCTTGTGTATATGCATGCGTTTATACTGATGCATGCGCTGTTGTTTGATTATGCGGTCTGCTGTTCTTTGTTTTGTTGTTTGTTTTTATTTTGTTTGTTGTTTACTTCGTATTAATTCTCTTTGCTCTTTTTTGTTTATTTTTATTTATTATTTATTGTTCAAACCCTCTCTCCTTGTTTATTCAATAAGCAGATGTTCAATCTAACTTTATATAATATAATATATATAATATATATTTATATATTTATATATATATATTTAAATATCTATCTATGCATTTACTCATTTACTCATTCATTCTTTTACTGCATTGCTGATTTATTTATATACTTATTTATCTATTTAGCTATTAATCTATATACATATACATATCTATATATAGACATGCATATATATAATTTATTTATTTATTTATTTATTTATTTATTTATGTGCATAGATCTCAAGAAGGCTCTCAGTTTGAAAAGGGTTTCGGAGGCCTGGGCGGCATACTGCGATATAAAGTAGACTTCTGCGATGAAGAGGAAGCAGTGCAGCATGATGGAGATGAAGAATTTATTTAGATTTAATATATATATATATTATATATAATATATATTATATATATTATATATAATATATATTA